TACTCATCCATGGCTACCCCTGAGCTTTCACCGTGATATGGGTCCACTAGTAATTTGTGAAGTTGACCTGATGTAGGTGATTTGTATTGGTTGATCGCTTGTTCACCACGTAATCGATGTTGATCAATATCAATTGATCGGAGTTACTGTAACAGAGGTGTAACGGAGCTGCCGTTGCACTCATACAGTGATCTCTGCTGTGTAAGGGCTATTCCTAACATCACACCAGCCTACCCTCTGTACTGAGCTTACTTCTAAATGTTCCAACGCAATTTATCGTGAGCTTTAACATACTACCTTTACCAGTGACAAAGGGGCGGAGGTGCTGTAGTGGCAAGTGGCACACTATGTCACGCACTTGGTCAGGGGTTCGAATCCCGGATCGATGTCCGCCTAGGCCAACCAAGCCTTCCATCCCTTCTGGGTCGGTTAATTGGTACTAGGCTCGTCTGGGAGGATAAAAGCACTGACTTGTACATCGGCTGGCCACCGCAAGTCATTCTATAGGCCACATAAGCACTCATTACGCCACTACGATTCTGAATAGAAGTCGAGTGCGGGGCGCATCTCTTAGACGGGATTGATCAACGCCAAAAACTTTATCCTTATCCTTTTATCAGTGACAAACCAACAAACCCGTCAGGACAACTGACAAATAGATGCACTGAGCTACTGCTCCATATATAAAACGTATAACTAAATTGTTGCCGACTGTGGACCTTCTCTGAGCGGTTGGTCATTCTGTTGGCTTCGTTATGGAGAAGTGTGCTCCCTACTATACCCTACTCGCAACTCCTTCTCATTTCTCTTTTCCCGCTCATCACACCTCATCCCTCGAGCCTCACTTTACCTGTCCCGTCCCAGATAGCTGCAGAGATTCACCGATAGGAATCGACACCATTTTGTTTTTCGTCAAACCCACAGGATGTAGTATGTTGAACCCGAACGGTGTGCCGCGCTGGTCGCACCAGAATCGTGTGCTCATAAATGGAAAGACTTGAATTTCCTCTGGGAAGTTGCAGTGGGAAGGTGTTACCGCTTGGTAAAATCGGGGTAGTAATACCGCCTACCAGTCTCCCAGCACTGCTAGATTATTCCATGGACATCCTTTTCGAAGCTGCAAACATTTGATCAAGCTCCCAGTACCAGCCTATTTCTGGATATCTCACATTTGGAGTGTTTTGGAGTGTAGGTGCAGACGGGTATTTACCATTTTCATTTGTATTTAGTAACCTGCATATCAAAATATCTTTTTTTACATGCAGCATGATCACGTGGTTTCCATCTTCTGCCTACGAACGCCTCTCGCGAGGCAAATTTTCGAAATCTGAAATTATAGTTGTTAAAATACAAGAATCGTTCTGGTGATCTCCACAATGTATTCAACTTACATTCGCACATCCTTCGGACGATTCCCACTTCCACCCCATGCTTACCGATGACGCGTATCTTGGTTTCCTTTCCCGTCGCAAAATCTCTGGCAACCTCTGGTGCATCTATCCCAGTTTGAACGTCGTCGGAGAACATTGATGAGCTGACATCGCTTGCTGTCACCAGGTTCTCGGGTTCATCAAAAATTGGATGGTAGTCAGGTTGGATATCTGAATGGTGTCATTGAATTTGGCATATATTGGGTTCAAACACTTAAAGGCTTATGCCAAAGCCCTTAGAGCTAAATCACTGACCGGTAGGTAATGTCCCGTCACAGACTGCATCTTGCTTCTTCTCGTTTTCTTCTTTACGCTTGTTAGTTCCAGTAATGAATCGAGCGGATATGACCCTCGGTTTGACAGAGGGACGATTTGCGTGAGTAGGCCACGAGTCCTGTGGCTTTTCGAAACGTCGATTGGATTCCATGTTGCCAACTCAAGGGGTTCTTGATCTGACCGGGAGTTAGAAATGAACCATATTCTCCAGAGGAGCTTTTATACCTTTCGCAGTCAGAGATATCATTGTCATTGTCCTATCATACACTAGAGGGCGAGGAATTTCCAGATCTTTGTCCCTGATGAGCTCGGCGAGTTAGGAAGTCGGTCAGATGCCATTCTCGTTTTCGCTCTCCTCGTTTTCAGAGGAACGATGTAGTTCAAATACCAAAATATTATACTTCACCCAAGTTCCTTTAATCCCAAATTCCTACAAATGTGGCTCGGGAATTATTGATCACGTTTGTTTCCAGAGAACACACGTCTGATGCTAAA